TCCCGCCTACCAGCTATGGATTGAATAGAAGGACAGATTGGGTTCTTTAGCTTTGGTTAGCAACCACTCTACCTCAGAAATAAATGGCAACCTACTGCGAAAAAATCTTCTGACTCGTCAGTCATGTATCGAAATATACATGATCGCTCAAGCGTTTATCCCTTGTGACACTTAACTAACTGACTTCTTAAAAGCAACATCATCTCCGATATTCAAGTCGGAATAATAAGAATAACTAACAAAGAAAACCTATTAGTCTCTCAATATTTTTTCCTATAAAATGGTTTGCTACCTTTAATAAAGATGCTAATATTCAGGGGCCGGTGTATTTTGTCTTATAACTTGTACCCAGTAGTATTATGGTCTTATATACACTTTGATCTATTTTTGTTTTTATTAATTATGATCTAACAAATCTTATTCATTGAGTCGCCATTTTTGTAATCTTTTACAATTTTTCATTTTTTTTTTTTTTTTTTTTTTTTTTTTAGTTTCTACTTATCGAATACAGAAAAACATGCTTGTGGTGATTTATAATTAGAATTCTGGTTTGAATATATTTTTAGTTCAATGTATTTAATACAAAAGATATCAACTTTATTTAGATTTATTCTTGAAATAGTAGAATTTTAAAGTTAGTTTCCAAGCAAAAACGTACGGAAATTCGGTCACTGTAATTTTTTAGACGATATTTAAACGTAAATGCTCAAAAATTCTTAAAACCTATGAATCTGATTTTTGGCTTCAATATTTATCATATCAGAAACCAGCTTTTACATGAAGTGCAATATTAATTTATTTAACTTGCCCTATTTTACAGGGTGAACCCTGCTGTAAATAAAATAAACTAACATTACTTGCAATAGATATCGCGTTTCGGAAGATGGGAGATAACTCGATTAAACGTTAATAGAGTTGTTCCCCTTAGAGTATTTTTCTATTTTTTGTTTTTCCTGTTTTTGATTGTTTTTTCCCTGTTTTTGATTTTCTTTTTAGTTGTTTTTTTTTCTTCAGTGCACTGTCTTACAAGCAAATGTGATGAAAGACAGAATTTTAAAAAATCGTAAAAAGAATCACCTTATTTATATGTGCATTCCAAGCTTTAATATCAGTCTCCCAAAAGATAATAATTGATTTATTCCTGATAATTATCGTTGGCTTGTAATTCTAGTTTCCTTTTTGTTTTTTGTTTTGATTTTGTTAGGGGGTGGTCCCAAAAGCTCCAGCCTTGGAAAATCGTTGTTCCTAATTTTCATAAATGACCTTCCTGATGTTATCAGTTCTCGGCAAGGTATCTATACTGATAACGCAACCCCTGTCTGATCGGTTTGATGAGGTCAAATTGGCAGCTGATTTTTTTTTAAATGATGTTGTTAAATGGGGCTTGTAAACTTTAACACCTCCGAAACTGTAGAATATTGATTAGCTTGCCAGTGGTCTGATACACAAGTAGGCAAGTGTAGCCAAAGGTAAAACTGACTTGAGTTATTTCATGGAGAAATATATGGGTGAATAAAGATCACTCATGCAAATGTATTGGGCAGGTCCATTCTAGCAAAATGGACCAACCTAATTGGTGTATTAGGCACTCTCCTATAAAATGAGGTAAAATCAACTGACTTGCTTTACAAGGAAACAGAAGAAGGCAGCCATGTTGGCAGGTAAGTCACTTGACTTCTACAGAAACGAAACTGCTCTCTAGTCTTAGTCGAACCTCTTTACATTCTATCAGCATGGCTGATGCTAACCCCTAGGAGAGTGACATATTGCGCCTTTACACATTAACATTTGCCGCTGAGATGCAATGGAGAGGCTGCAGCTAAGAAAGTTCACTGTATCGAGTCAGACAATTTTTCTCGACAGAATTTTTGACATATATAAGACTACCATTCGCCCTTATTTTGAATATTGTCGCCATATTTCGTCTAGTGTTCCTGCTATATATTTAGAGATTCTTGATTAAATCCAAAGAAGAATCTGCTATATTATTGGTCCTTGCCTGGCATTTTGGCTTCCGTCCTTTTCCCACCACCGTAACGCAGTTTCCGTATGTCTTTTCTATAAATACTTTCATGATAATTGTTCTAATGAACTTTCCTCTATGGTACCTAGACTCTATGAATTTAAGCGCCATACTAGATTGGCGACAAGGTCTCATCATTTTACAGTTGAGTTGGCTAGATGTAACCGTAAGTTCTATGCTAACAGTTTCTTCTCTCGCACTTCTCGCCTGTGGAACTCTGTTCCGTCTTCTTGCTTCCCTGTCAACTTTGATCTTCAAAAATTTAAATGGAATATCAATCGTTATCGTCTGTCTTCTTAACTGTTGTTCTTTCAGTGTCCTCTCTCCATAACAGTATATTTTTCTCATATTCTCTAAGGATCAGTCATCTCTTTGCGTTTTAGTAGCTTTATTGTCTTGCTTGCGATGAAATGCTTAAAATAGTTGATTTTTATCGGAATTTTATTCATACAGTCAATGCTAAAGTTACACTAAAAAGAAATGATTTCGTACTGTAGTCCGAATTAAACGAAGTCAACTTTTGCCGCGAAATAGGTGGTCTGAATAGAATTCTTTCGTTTTCTCAAACTTGTCTTCTCTTGGTCTTAAATAAATCGATCCTTCACCCGATTTTCGTTAATGCCCACTGATATTACATTACAGTTCAGTAAATTTTCTTTGTTTCTAACAAAATATTTCTGTTTCTTAATACTTTGCTTAGCTTTTGAAAGGCACATTCACTATCTCAAATGCGTCTTCGGATTTCAATGTCTCACTTTCTGCCTTCTGTTAAAACAGTTCCCAGATATTTAAATTGTTGTACTTGTTTGATTTTGGTAAATTCCATGTTGTGTTATTCCATTATTTGAATATCTGTCTCCTTGCCGTTATTGCTTAGTCCTTTCTTCTCGCTTTCTTTCACTACCTCCTGTAGGGGATCTTGTTGATTGGTTGTTCTTGTTTAACGGCATATCAATATTTCTATAGATTATTTAATTTCGAAATCTAAATATCCTGAACACTATTTTATTTTATTTTATTTTATTTCTATTTTGGAGATAATAATGGTTTTAGTGCCACGAGTCTTAAAAATTAACCCAGGGCTGGGGTGGGGGAAGTGGTAGATTCATGCCTTTACCAATGGTATTTGCGCTCAAATGAAAATAACGAATCTAACTGGAATTGGAACTCGGCTCTCCGATTAACAATTCCAAGCCATTATACATTACACCACCCGCACATCCAAGCTTACATCACCTGGTTTTCCTAAGCGGTCACTCATCTATATAATGACCAGGCTTGACGTTGCTTAACTTCAGGGAAGTTCTTGTAGTTTCCTTTCTGTGTCTGCTATCAACACTGTCATCTGCATATCTTATGTTAAGATTATGGCCGTCAATAATGAATTCTGGTGGTACTTCTCATTCCTTCAGAATCACCACTCTGTATTGATTGAATAAATCCGGTGAGCAGACACATCTTTAGTTTGATATTTAGCTGTCCCCCCCCCACACGTGGGGTCGCACGGCCGAGTTTTTTTGACGGGTCACCCGAGCCCGTCCCGGCCAAAATATAGTGACCCGCCTACAAGGCCGAGTTTTCGGCACGTCCGTTCCTCCCTCACCAGAGAGTTAGACAGACCGTGAGTAACTTAATACAGCTACCAATATTTGTGTCCCCCCCCGTGGGGTCGCATGTAGCACAAGGCCGAGTTTTAAAAATAAAATATAGCCTTCGACCCGCCTGGGCGAGTTCGAGAGCTGTTATAACCTCCCCGAACGAAACCTTGCCCTTCGGCAAAGATTCGTCCGGGTTCCTCCCTGCTAATGCAGAGAGTTAGACAGACGGCGCTGACTGTAACTTAATACAGCTACCAATATTTAGCTGTCCCCCCCCCCACACGTGGGGTCGCATGTGGCACAAGGCCGAGTTTTACGTTGTCACCCGAGCCCGTAGGCCCGGCCAAAAATATAGCCTTCGACCCGCCTAGGCGGGTTCGAGATCTGTCATAACCTCCCCGTACGAAACCCTGCCCTTTGGCAAAGCTTCGTCCGGGTTCCTCTCTGCTAATGCAGAGAGTTAGACAGACGGGGGTTGCTGTAAGGTTGGTACTTACGTTCTGTACATTCTACACCGGCGTCAACTTTATGGTAGCATCTATGGACACCCCAGCGGGAATGGCCGCATTGTAATATTGAAACCTCTGACCCATTACACTGCAAACCATCCAACCAAATCTGACCACTACCATGTGGTGTGATGGTCGACGGGATCACATTTCCTACACTGGAAGGTTAAAATAAATAAATGAATAATATTAAACATCACAGTTGCTTTTTTGTCATTTCTTTTTTTAATTATTTCAACCAAAAAAAACGCAGTGAAGCCACTAAGACACAAGGGGTTATTGAGTGTGAGAAAATATGGGGAAAAAACATTAACAGGAATTAAGACATAAGATAACGATTGACATTGCATTTAAATTTTTGAAGACCAAAGTTGACTGGGAGGAAAAAAACCGGAAGGGAGTTCATTGAAATTCATTTGACTGTTCAGTTTCACTGATGCGCTAATTTGTTTATTCTTGTACAGAACAGATCATGATCATCATGGCAATATTAATCATCATTATAACCATATAGTAAACGCTTCGCTGCTGAGCAATTATACGACTACACCACACATTTATGATTATATACATAACACCTATATACAGGGTGTCCCCCAAAATTGACAGCATTTTGTAATCTAATAACATAACCAATTTTCGCTCAAATGATCTCAAATTTTAACAAAATATGTAAAAACTAAGTTAACTAGGCATTTACCCTGTCCCCACCACTAAGACGAGTTGTGACACAAGGTCTTTTTTAAGGTGGGGACCCGAACGCGTATACCCGAGCCAGGAAAAAAAATTGCCCGCATTCCCCGCAAACGTGAGTTGCGCAAGCACCGACCCTGCTCTCTCTGGTGCTCGGGTAGCTTTTCGCCAGGACTGGGCACCTCTCAGTATAATTTTCCTCAGTTGCGACTCTTTCCTTTGACGGAATCGCCCCTGAGTGCACTCTTCCCAAAGACAGAGACGCAACTGAGAGATGATAAATAATAGTGTAAGCGGCTCTTTGGAGTGGTTTGTAACACAAAAACTAAGTTAACTATGCAAATTTATCTCAAACATAGTCTACCAGAAAGATGGATCGGGCTTGCCAGTGATAATGACAATGTGCTGTTGAAATGACCACCACATTCACATGATTTGACATCTTAGGAATTTTTTTATGGGGTTATGTGAAAGGACGGGTCTTTATCAACCCTATTCGTACAAGCCTAGAGGAATCACCGAGGCGCTGCAGAATGTTACGCAAGGCATGCTACATCGTGTTTGGCAGAGGCTATACTACCGACTTGACGTTTTTTGTGTCACAGGTGGTGCGCATATTGAACATTTGGGAAGCTTTGTAAAATCGTTTATAAAATCTAAACCCCTTTGGATATCGTGTTCGAATTTTGACAAATCTTTTATTGTTCAACATGAAGCCTATTTAATTTCGGTTACCTGGGTCATGTAGTTACTCAAATATTCACATTTTAAATTATCTCAATTTTTTAGACACCATATATATATATATATATATATATATATATATATATATATAAATCCGATAACAATACATATTTTATGTATCAAGAAGCGTATCAAGAATTGTATGACAAAGTGGAAAAAGTTATGACGGGTTTCGCTCTTCAGGACTTCATCGGACTAAATTTTTAAATTTATATATTTATTGTTTTACGTTATTTTTATACAAATATTTAAGTAAATTCTCTGTTTATAATAAACAGTATTAACTACATTTACCGTCCTGAATGTCGGAGAAAGTTCGTAGAAAAATACATGCCCTCCGATAGTAATCGAACCTGTATCCTACAGGGAACAGTCATATAACCTGACGTCCTATACCATTTAGCTACAGAGGAAGCGCCCGGGAAGTGTGGTTGAATTACTGTTTTTAAACTACAAATTTCCCATGATTTCTCTCGAACGCTCATATCTGCTTGAAGCGCAAACAAATTTTGTCATATATTATGAAATAGACTAAGATGCTTTTACTTAAATTTTATAATAAAAACGCCAATAAATTAACTAAAATAATTGTTTATTCAATACAATTTTCATAAAACACAAATATATATAATATATATATATAAAATATTTAAACTTTATAAATTCAATCTTATTTGCAACCTTTAAGAGTGTGTTCAATACAATTTCATAAAACGCAAATGTGGTTTCATATAAAATATTTGAACAAGACTTTTTCTAGATGCTTCATCAGGCAATTTAAAAAAAAATAAATTACTTATAAGAGCGTCTGCACTGGCATCTTAGAAATAGAAAGAAGAAAAGTAGGGAGAAAGAGAGAGAGAGAGAGAGAGAAAGATATAAATCCGTTTGTATAAATACTTCTATCCGGAATCGTAATAGAAATTTTCTTGCGTGCTTGCAAGCTGCCATTGTTTACGATCTCTCCCTAAGTAAATTATCCTGTTCTGGATACATTAGTATCGCTTGTTTTTTCTACTTGACATAGTCTGCATATCCCACTACACGATTTTTTTTTCATAATATCCCATTTAAGGTTGTGTTTTTTTATTATTCCTGTCCTCCACAAATAACTGGCAAGTTTCTTTGTTTTGCATTTTGCCCGTTTGAAGGAGTATCGGTTTTCATACCCCTACTTTTTGAACATAACTTCTGCGGATCCAATGTATGCATTTTTTTAGCACTTTTCCTGCTCTACAGCAGCCTTATAAACTACACCCTCTATCTTACAGTTACCGTTTAACGGGCAATCAGCTGCGATTCGGCCATTGCAGTTTTTCTCAGCCGTATATTCACTTTTGCCCCACTCATATTTAGGTCTTTGGTACTTGTGGATTACCTGTCGCGACTTTTTATAAAGTTAGATGTGGTATTTTTTCAGACTGTTAAACGGATCTTTAGGAGTTGCCAATAAATGAAAAGGACGCTGTCCACCTGCTTCAGAGTAAAGGGATCCTGCCAACTGAGAAGAACTACAAAATTGGCCATCCAATGAAGCTCTACTTCGGTTCCAGGATCTATTGAAAATGTAACATAAGAAGAACCGCAAGTAGCAAATTGGACTCGGCACTGGGGACTGGTTGCCAAACTCACGCCTTAAATTGGTCACTTTGCTTCGATTCATATACGCCTGATGCTGGAAAAAATCCGAAATGGGGATTGGGAATAACCCTGTGATCGACTGAAAAAAATACATGAGAGAGGTATGCATCAACAGCCTAACCAACCTACAGCAATTCAAGACTGACGGCGAAGGAATGGTGGTTGAGATCGATGAGACCCTGTTCACAAAGCGTAAGGACAATACTGGACGCATTTTACCACAACAATATGTCCTCAGAGGATTTTGCCGTGGAACAAATCTGCTCAGTTTCGTATGCAAAACATACTCAGCAGATGTGGATTTTGGGAAAATCTGAACGAGGGTATGTACTTTAAGGCATATTGTTGTAACCTAGACAGGGTTACTGAATGAGGAATAACCAAAACGGAGGTTGGAAATGAAATGGTAATCTTTATAACATCAACAAAAATACAATACTCGCCAGCGGCGTGAAGTAGGTAAGCCACTGCTAGTGGTGGACTACTTAGACAGCATATTATCTCCACTTACAGTAGTGTCCAACGTATTTTGGAGGATTGAGACATGCACATAGTTTAGTTGAACAGAGGTTCAGTTGGAAGAAAAGAATGAAGGAGGAGAAAAAGCTAAGGGGTGAATGTAAAGTGGAGAAAGACAACAAAAAGAAACGAAGAAAAGGACAAATAATCACGACACTCTACACGTACACACATCCACACAGACGGCCGCATGGCCGCACGCGCACAAAACGCAAGCACACACAGAAACAATACGGAAAAAAACTTGCAACAATGATAAGTGCATAAAAAAGAAAAATCGAGAAATATAAGTAGTCAGTTGCTGAAGAGTGGACGGACGGGTCCGTCTCCGAAACTCTGGAGTCGGGATGCTGAAAGTAAGATCAATCAGCTAAGTGACAAACTTCCTTATATTAATTCTCTCTGTCTCTCTCTCTTATATATATATATATATATATATATATATATATATATATACAAAATATATAATTGGTATATACGGAATGAATTCCAATAACCAACAATTACTATTCTTAAAAGAGTGCTCAATACAAAGTAGAGCAGATATAATTATTTTTTATAAAAAAATTATAAGTATGTTATAAAATCACTACAAAAATAGCCATTTTGTTTCAACACACTCTGTGTCTTATCAAGTGATGATGTTGAAAATAAAATAAATGGTTTTAAAAGTTTCAGATTAATTAACCTGAAACTTTTAAAACCATTATTTATTTTCAACATCATCATAAAATTTTTATAAAACAAAATGGCTAAAAATTTTTATATATATATATATATATATATATATATATATATATATATATATATATATATCTATATTGAATAAATTACAGATATTATGTCTGTTAATTCTTAATAAAATCCTTTCATACTCACGAATAACCTTCCGTGTATTGTAGTTAAAGATGTGAGAAATTAACATCAATACACGGAAGGTTATTCGTGAGTATGAACGGATTTTATTAAAAATTAGCAGACCTACTGTCTGTAATTTATTCAATCAGACATATCTAAAAGAGAATTTGCTGCCTAAATACACACACACACATATATATATATAACTTACCTGTAGCCGTTCATTCTGCAGAACACTGTGGCTGCGTTTTTGTCCCATCCGTGCGCGCAAATGGTTCCCCACACATTGTTGTATTCCACCTCGGCTCTTCCACGTTGCGTGCCACCAAATATTCGAGCATCAACTGGATAGGCTGAAATCATTTCAAGAAAATTTCGTATATATATTACTTTTTATGTTTTATTCTTCTAGGCAGCAACCCTTAATCAAAACCTCAAACTTGTTGGAAGCAACCCCTTTCTTTAGGTTCCTCTGTTTTTAATTGTCCAACAACAACAACAATAATAATAATAATAATGTTATGGGACCTTACCCATAATAACATAATGGACTATTCCATACGTAATAAATACTGCGCCTCAAGAGGAAACAGGGAATTCCGTCTGAAGTCTGGAGTTCAGCCTGAAGTCTGGAGTGAAGTCCGTCAGGAGTCTGTCAGTCAGTCATTCAGTCAGAGCGAGTCAGTCAGTCGAGTCATAGGCAGTTCGAAACAGAGTCGCGTTCAGACAATTACTACTAAACGTGATTGTTCGTGCTAACACTTTCTACTTCACTGTATATATTTCTGTTTGTAATATATCTGTGTTATTCCATATCCGCCTTCGAGTTCTTCTTTATTGGTTCTACCTTGGACTATCACCGTCGTACAAGGAACCGGACCATAACAAATAACTAGTTTTAACCCGTGAAAAGTTCACGGTTTTCCTATTTGAAATTACTGATGAATCTTAATTCTTCAGTTAATGATTGAATAAGCTCATGTTGGGTTCTACGACAAATAAAATATCTATAGAAATTTCCCTATCGCATTGTTGAATATTTGAGCTTAACAATAAAATATTGCAATAACAATCATAAAATATGAATGTTGGTCGTTATTTAAGAAGCCAGGAGGTACAAATGAATAGATTTGAAATTGACAGCTTTTTCCATTTCATTAAAACAGACGTTAAACTCTTCTTCCCTTCTAGCTTTTATTTTCTTACTGAAGCCAAGTAGTGTCTTTGATATGTACTTTGTCTTCTCACGTCCATTATTTTTAGGTATTAGCAGGAGGCGTTAAACACTTTTATTTCTTTCTTTTTTCTCTCGCTGAAACCAAGTAGCGTCTCTGATGTTCTTCCACGTGATCAAAACGGAATATGAGGTATTGGCAGGGCGTAACGGTCAGGCCAACTAATGAAAGTAGGGATAGACACAATAATAATAATAACAACAATTATAATCTCAAAAATGTGGCACATGGGAACATCAACAATCTCCGTTGTAGTTGGAGCCCTCGGATTGGTTAGAAAAGATCCCAGGAGACTAATTGAAGGGACCCCTGGAAGCCCACGCCTTAAAGAAATACAAAAATTTGTTCTCACGAGTACAGCCCACACCTTACGAAGGGCTTTGTCTATGTAAAATTCTTTCTTTTTTTTTTTTTTTTGCAGTGGAAAACGTCATGATACCATTTTCTAACCTTAGGGCGGGACCCAGAAAGAAATGAGTACACATCAGAAATCAACGGAAATAATAATAGTAATAATAATAATAATAATAATACCATATGTAACATTCACAACCCCAAAACAGATACAGCTGGGCTGTAACTGGCTGGGACACTTGAACCTTAAATCTTAAGAAATATCTAAATTAACCAATGATTTGGATGCCAAATATTGTGTAATATTTGATTCACGCCAGGAAATACCAGATAATCTGAACTGAATTTAATGTCAATAAATAAACTTTGTTCTAAGAAAAATTTTATGATGACTCCAATATATACTGGGTTCCCCACAGTTGAAACCAAAATTGACTTTGCACTCTATGTCACACCAATGCATCAGAGAAGCTGGATGCATCAGAGAAGCTGGATGCATCAGAGAAGCTGGATGCATCAGCGGGTTGACTTGTAAGGCCACTAGATACATAAGCACCACGCTTAAAAGGGAAAAAAAGTCTAATTTCTTAAATTATCGCGAGAATTAGATCCATATTCAGAGAATAAAGCATATACACCATTATGTTGTTATTAAACCTGTGAGCCCTGATCACCGGTTTACCGGTGGTAGAGAAAATGACGTGATGCCCTGACCACCGGTTTACCGTGCTAGAAGAAAAATGATGTCCTGACCACCAGTTTACTGGTGGTAGAGAAAATGACCACCGGTTTACCGGTGGTAGAGAAAAATGAAGTAATGCCCTGACCACCGGTTTACTGATGGTAGAGAAAAATGACGTAATGCCCAGCCACCGGTTGAACAGTGGTAGAGAAAAATGACGTAATGCCCAGGCACCGGCTGAACGATGGGTAAACACTTGTAACTAGTTTTATATCTACCGTGAAAAATCACAATTATTTGGGAATTTTGACTCAGGATCTCGGGCAGAAGGGTTAAAATTATTCCGGAACGCAGTCTTCAAAGGGTTAAGACGAGGACCGGAACGGAATAAACAACGATTTTACGTAGTATGAGAAATTAACTCTCCCGTTCTTCTTCCTATATAAAATGATAGCATGACTCGTTATTATACTAATAAAAATAGAAAAGAAAGTGAAATATTTACGATTTGAACACTGGGCTCTTGCTTCTTGTCCTCGACTGCACGTGGTTGTATCCCATGGATAGTGAATGCAATCTGCAATGTTGATCTCATTACCGTTGCATTCGACACGGTCCAGCCATATCTTCTTTGTGCTATCCGAGAGTGCAGCACTTTGTATAGCAGTGCCTTGCCTGAAGAAAACAAAAGAATCGAAAAGTTAATTTCACAATCTCATGTTGTTATTAAAGCGAATATATCTATATATAAAATTCTGTGACTTCTGTTTGTCTGTCCGTCCGTCCGTCACACCCTCTAAAATAAACATACACTGAACGATCGAAACCAAATTTGGGGGAGAAGTCCAAACAAGTAAGGGGGTACAAAGTGCAGTTGGTTTTCCTAGGGTGCACAGCTTAGTACAATAAATTTCCATTAATTTCTTTGGAAAAAATACAAGTTTTATTATTTAACATACAAATTACCCCCACTATTTTAAAAACAATCTAATGATTAAAACAACTAATACTTATTTAATAAAAATGCAATATTGTTTTTTTGCATATCTTTTCGTTAGGTTTTTATACAAGAATTCCAGTTTGCCCTACGTTTGCGAGAACTATAAAAAAATAACATGGTCAAACGCCACAAAAAGTTAGAATTTAGATCCAGAAAGAAATATTTACACATGTATGTTGCATGCTTAAGAGTAAGAAATCCTTAGAATTTATTCTTCGCTGTTAAAAATGAAATTTTCTTCAAAAATATTATTAACCATGAAGTCCTATAAAATTAAATTAAATTGAAGAAATTACTAAACTGCGAGTTAGGGTTTTTGTCAAAGTATTTTTATAAAATAAATCAGCTTATTCAAATTTAATTGAATTCTTTTGTGAAATCGAACGAAAGATAGAGTTTGTAAATCTCAACAAAAATGATAACTTCAACAATACTGTGAGGATTTCAATACTAGTCATTGTGTTTCAAAAAAATTCTAGTATTATAAAAATTTGCTTAAACGAGTAAATAAATGTTGTTATTTATATATGGAGTGATAGAAAAATATACTCTTTTCTAATAGATATGGAGAGATAGAAAAATATACTCTTTTCTAATATATATGGAGTGATAGAAAAATAAAATGTTCATTATTTCAAAAAAAGAAAAAAAGTAAAATAGCAAACAAAAATGGTTTGCCACAAAAAATAAAAGCAAATGATAAGAAAATAAACAAATAAAAGTGGCCAAAAGGTCGTCATTCCTAAACACAGATGAAGAAAAAAGGATTGTCAAACAAGAAAAACACCTGTGAACCAATCAGGAAGCAAGAAACAACTCTGAAATTAATTCCTTTGTCCCGGAAAAAGTGTAAAAACAGAGACGACCAGGTAAAGTAATGAAATAATCAGCGACTCGGATTGAGGAATCGGAGAGCCGACTTCGGATTCCAGTCGAATCCATTACATTCACTTACGTGCTAATATCCTTGGGAAAGGTATGAATCCTCTTCTTCTAACCCCACCACCCCAGCTATGGGTCAATAGCAAGACAGACCGAGTTATATAGCCTTTGACGACAACTGGTCTACCGCAGAAAGAAATGGCAACCTACTGTGGGAAAAAAAATCTGTTTCGTCAGTCATGTATCGAAAGATACATGATCATCTAAGCGTCTATCAAGCATGTCACATAACTGACTGATATTCACTTACGTGCTAATACTTTTGTGAAATGTATGAATCCTCTTCTTCTCCCCCAGCTATGGGTAAATCGTAAGACAGACTGGGTTCTATAGCCTTGGATGGCAACTGGTCTATTGCAGAAAAAAATCGCAACCTACTGCGGGGAAAAAATCTGCCTCGTCAGTCATGTATCGAAAGATACATAATCGCCTAAGTGTGTATGACGCATGGCACATAACTGAACTGCCATGCCCTACACCAAAAATTCAACAGAGTCGAAAGGATCGCTGCTATCAACATACACATTTACATTGAATCTCTCTTTCTCTCCCCACTCCCTCTCTCTCTCTCTCTCTCTCTCTCTCTCTCTCTCTCTGTTATATGCTAAAGGACTTTAGACGTTTAACACCAGGTATGAACTTATGAATTCTTTAAATATTGTATATTTTATGTTAAGAGATATAAAATTTTGTCAGTTAAAATATATCTTTGTACTAATTGTCTTTGCATTCATTTTTAACAGGCCAAAAATTTGCGTATGTTGTTATTAAGGATGTTTACCCGAAGGTCACCACCCAGATACAACTATACATACATAAGCATATTTTTTTTCATCTAAAAGAAGACAGTTAAATCAAAACGTTATATTATTTAAAATAATTAATAAAATTTAAATAAATTTTATTAATTATTTTTTATTATAATTTTATTAATTAAATAAATTAAATTAAAAAATAATAAATAAATATTATAATTTTAATCTTATAATAATATTATATTATAATAAATAAATAATAATAAAATTTATTTAAATGAATTAAAATAATAAATAATAAAAATATTAAAAGATTTGAAAAGTTAATTTCACGATCTGTTATTTTTAAAACGAATATATCTATATATAAAATTCTGTGGTTTCTGTTATTCCGTCCGTCTGACCATCCGTCCCACATACCTTCAAATACATTGACCTATAGAAAACAAATCTTGGGGAGAAGTGCAAACAGATAAGTCTGCTTAAATGCCATAGATGATGGTTTTTAGTTCTATATCAATTCACTTCCTATTTATAAATTTTACTGTGCTGATTTACAAATTAAAAGAAAATAAATTAATAAGGGGAGAGTATTCTGTATTTGACAAGACAATCTACATTTAAATTGGTTTTCATTTTTACCAATAATCTCCAACCACATGTAAATGCCTTTTTAACAAGCATTTACTCCTTTTCGTTCATTAAACATTCAATTATATCACTTAGCATCATCCATAGTTTACCTTGACTATCACAGTTGCCCTGTAAAAAATTAGGAGTGGTCTTAGATTTAATTTTTTTTTTTAAATTTTTAACTTCTAAGGCATGGAACTTAGTGCAAAATAAAATCCTTACATTTGTCTCGATAATGTCCATCAGAGGACAAAATACGTCGTCTAAGATGTTTTGCATTTGTCTTTATTCATATTGTCTTTTTATAGTTGTATTTTTATTTATATCTGACTTTTTACACAGACACCGATATATATATATATATATATATATATATATATATATATATATATATATATATATATAATATAGCATCTTAAGACTATATTTCTTTATATATATATATATATATATATATATATATATATATATATATATATATATATACAACAATCCGTTTAGGTGAAACCTAGGTAGGTTTGTCTGGCTCACTAGAATGTATCTATCTATCTATCTATATATATATATATATATATATATATATATATATATATATATATATATATCAAAAATAAGCCTATCATTATACCATATGATAGAAATTAACATTTGATGTAGCAGTTAATATTATTTCATTTTGCTCTTAACTTTCAATTTTAATATCCATTGTTTTCTTTGGGAATGAGCACAAACGCAGACATCAAACTGTTATAATTAAGTTACAGTTTAAACTGTGAATTGTTTTAGTCTTCAAGTTAAAACATTTTAACAGTATTTCTGTAACAAAATTCTCGCTACACAATGTATCGTTTTTATCGTGTTACGATATCAAAAAATAAACTAAGAACTGAAAAGACGTCATTGGGTAAAAAAATAATAACATTTTCTTTTAATAACTTACAACTCTGTTTGAATTAGTGTTCGTATCTTGATTGTTATAACCCCAATTTCTAGATAAATACCAAGTGACAAAATGTTAGTCAAATGCATTCAATTATTTGGTGATCGTGTGTTCATTGCTTGGATCAAACAGTTGAAACTTGAAAGTTGGTGTTATTAAAAGCTAACGTAGCATCAGGAAGATGAACTAACCCAGAATAGTTACGATACGAGTTACCTCCCCTAGATAGTGAACTGGTTTCAATACATTGGATTGAGTAAGGAATTTAATTAGAACTTCCCAGAAAACTGAAAAGGTCGCAGGTTACAAAGATCAAAGCGTTGTAAGTATAAAATCCAATATTAATACATCTTATGACCTGGTTACAGAGATACGAACTGTAAAAATGTTAAATACCATATTTCTTCAGAACGCAAGCATTGGCTCTCTACAAATTCCATTTAATGTCTGTGAATTACTAAAATCTAAAATGTACATTATCTTAGGGTGTTTTATTTAGGTCTCTATTTGGGACCCCCTAAGGAAATGTGCATATAACAGAAATCAAAGGAAATAATAATAATAATAATAATGTTATTTGTCCAATAGACAAAATACAAGTATGAGAAAAGTCTTAAAATCGAAATTTTTGTAAATGTCTGTGTCATAAAAATGAAATCAAGATGAGCTTTTTTTCTTTTTCTTTTTTTATGAAAGTTGTTTTGCATGTGTGTAGATTTGTTGTAAGGATCATGGCCATTATTTGACCTTTGAATATAGGATATACTTTTATTTATGAATTAGTCTATACTCTTTTAGCCTAGTTAAGGGATGTAAGATCATTGTTTTGTTTTATAAAGTTTCTCAACTCAACATTTATAAAGGCATTTATTTATATATATATATATATATATATATATATATATATATATATATGTGTGTGTGTGTGTGTTTGTGTGTGTGTGTGTGTGTGTGTGTGTGTGTGTGTGTGTGTGTATAAATGATTAAATAAAATCCATCTCTTCTCACACCAGCTATGGTGTAAATAGTAGACTGAATCCTATTTCTGAAGTTCTTTATGGATGTGAAATGTGCATTATCTTATGGTGTTTTATTTTTTTTTATTTTTTTTTAAATAATAATAATAATAATAATATTGCTGATCAGGACCAACGCCTCGCAACCAGATCCTCTCACTGTCACATAATCAAGGATGGAACTAACCCAAAATGCAAGATCTGCGGAAAATATGATGAAACTGTCGATCATATTATTTCAGGATGTCCGGAGCTGGCAAAAAATAAATAACCCACAGACATAACAAGTGCACTGGAAGATATTCAAGAAGCAAAAAATCGAAACCACTGAGAGATGGTATGAACACCAACCAGACACAGTTACCAAAATAACGATGTTTATATCCTCTGGGACATGCCAATTCAAACGGACAGAGAAATAAAAGCTAACAGACCTGATATTATCATAAAAGACAGGAAATTCAGGAAGTGTATTCTTATTGACATTACCATCTGAGAGAAACCTATCCATGAAAATTATCGAGAAATTGTCCAAATATCTGGAGATTGAAGACTGAGACTGTACCAATAGTAATTGGAGCTCTGGAACTCGTGAAAAAAAGGAATGAATAAGTTTACTAACAGTGTCCCAGGTAACAACAGCATACAAGTTGCCCTGAAGATCACCTTACTAGGAACATCCCATATACTAAGAAAAGTGATATCAATTAAATGACAATTCTCCTATAGGGTCTAAGGACCATAGTTTGGATCTGGCTCTACAGAATACAAAGGAGGAAACATAACATACACAAATAATAATAATAATAATTTTTCATCTCAGAAAATCAGACAGAAAATGATTCTTGTTTTACATAGTTTTGTCGTTGTAAGCAAGCATACTGCAGTAAAAGCAAACCAAGTAGATAAATCGAAGGAAGCTACAACGAGACTTTCATATTTTTCCACATTTCCTATGTAAGTTACATTTTAAGTATAAAAGGTAACATAAAAACCAAAATCAAGATCTTCCGGGCCATGGTCCTCTCCACCCTTCTGTAGTTGTCGTCGGGACATCAAACGTCTAGTGCGGTTCCAGCAAACGAAGTTGCGAAGAATACTTTGCACCAGGTCTTTTTCTTGGGCATTTCTTCCCGGCATCGAGGCTACACTCCTTCGACATCGGGCATATCACGTGTCCAGAATGCGTCTTACTCGACCCCCACGTCTCATCCTGTTTGGAGAACTCGCCAGCGGCAAGAGCATACACGGAGGCCCAAAACTACCATTCAAGGATCAGTTGAAGACATACCTAACACAGGCCAACATCGACCCTAAGACGTGGGAAACCGTTGCTGCAAATCGGTCCGTGTGGTGAGAATGAGACTTTCGAATCCAACCGTCAACATGTAGAGGATCTACTAAGTGCAGTCAGGAGGGCTCGACTCGCCTAACCGCGTCAACCACCCACACACTTCTGTTACTCCTGTTCTGACTCATCAGGAGTAGATTCGGCCTTCACAATCATCTCCGCCACCGCCACCAGAGGGAAGAAATGGAATAAGGAGAGAGAGCATGTCGACCCCGATGCAAGTGGGTTCCGATTAGACCTTTTAAGTATTCATTTATACAAGTCCGAAGAATTATCGTCTAACATCCAACTACAGTGCGATTTTCTAGTCGAAATAAGAATCAATACTTCATCAACCAAATATATATTTAGAATATCATATTTCTTCAGGACACAAGCATTGGTTCCCTGCAGATACCATTTAATGTCTGTGAATTGGCATTAAATCTTGGCAATGATAATAGAGGTATTTCCAGTTTTTTTCTCCAACGTGTAGAATTCAGAGTTTTCCTTTGGTACCAAAGTTAGAAAGACCAGTCCACCCAGCTACTTCGCTCAGAGCTGAAGAGAAAGAGATGGATTTACGTCATTCCCAAGAGCATATGTGTGAAAATGAATGCAACAGACAAAATCATAAACTGAATTCAACTCTTCAGTTCCATTTTCTGCACCATCCAAATTTACGCTACCCATACATCATAATCAGTAATAGTTCAGTGTAATATAAACTATCCCATAAATTGCTGTATATAATTTCTATAGTAAGATTTCTCAGGTTGGAGTTACTAACCCCAAGACGCAAACGGTTATCCTACTTTTAGAGTTATTGCTAATCAAGCCTGAAGAGCTAAGTCTTCACTATTATTTAACTCAAAGCTGGTTGGCGAACAGATCAATTCATATCTTTCCCGAGGTTATTTGCTGAAAGTGGAACTGGAATTCAAATTTGTTTCCAACGATTTCTCGATCAGCGTCGCTAACGCGCACTTTTTTTTTTTTTTTTTTTTTTGGTTAATGTAAGTATTCACAAAATTTGGGAGAGCAAGCCCAGGAAGAACTTGCTATTTATTAAGACAATAGGCATCCAAAGTATACACACCTGTAACCCAGCATTCGACACGCCACTAGAGCATCAGAATCACCCCAAGAGTCGTCACATACCGTACCCCATTTGCCTAAGAAATCCACTAAGACGATTCCTCCATTTCCAAGACGAAGATCCACTGGGTAAGCTGCAATAAAGAATAAATACCAGTTAAGAATCTTAATATTACATTCATTGTATTCATATTTCCTCAGTTAGAAGTTGCATATAGTTTGGAGCAACAGAGGGCCCCAGCCTTGCAATCAATAAGATAGAAGAATCCATCCACTGAAAAAAGATTTTTAAAAAAGTCTTTGTACAAACGTCGCTTGTCTTGAGAAAACGGTTGTACTGGTAATCAACACATCAATATGTATATTTATTGTAAATTAATGCAATTATGGCACAAAGCAGAAAAGTGGGATAGATGGAGGCTGGTCTTCACTATCTATCTTATACCGAGCTAATCGGATTCACGACCCATTCATTCGTTACAATTTCTTCATTCACCATAAAAACTCATCCGTCGCCAATCAATCCTCCATACACCATAATACCACATCCTCTCGTCTATAAAAAGCATTCCAATAAGATGATAAATATTATTTACAATATGAATGAAACGTCACCAGCGTGAAGGCCTACAATTGAAACGTGTGGAATGAACATAAATGACATAAAATTTATACTAAGCTGTTTGATTAATTCCTCTTAGTAATTAATCAACTAAAGGAAAATTCCAAGATGAACAAAATCGCCATCATATTAAGCAGGTTTCAGTTTCATGCCTTCAGGCTGGCGGCGTTTCATTCGTTTTGACGCTTTCAATACGAGGACAGCCGTTATCTCAAGACAAAGACTTGTCATTTTTTGTAGATTTTTAAAATATTTTTATACTTGTTTATTATACGAGATTAAAACAAAAATGCGTTAAAAATCGCTACGCAATAGCTTCCATGGTTCGGCATTTGTTTGTATTGTGACTATATTTTAGAGAAGTTCCAAAGTTGGTTTTATCCATGTTTAAGTATTAAAATAAATGTAAATATGCTCCACCGTAGAAGGAGCGAAATATCCAGGGATAAGAACTAATTTGCTTTAATCTCCTATAATAAAGCTCTACTCTGACATTTTTAAAAATTAAATGCTATAGACAGTGGGATTATACTCCATTTGTTCTTTTCTTACACCTGGATATTTTTATACTTGTAACAAATTTTTTTACAAATGACTTGAAGATGACAGGCATATTGTCAAAATATTGTTGAACATTGTCAAAAACTTTCTTTTCTTTTTCTTTTCTTAAATCGTGCTCTTTTCTAAATGTTGAAAATATTGGATAAGTGACGTCATTTATTTTGTTTAATAATAATAATAATAATAATAATTTGTGTGGTTGTTAAGTTTGAAGAATAAGGTGAGCAAGACGACTTGGTGGGGTTACATCTAGATACTTGGAAATACCCTTAATCAAAGGTTGTCTGAGCGGATAGGTTTACTCGACTTTGAAGTATTTCTAACAGGGCCCCACATCCCAAAGTATTTGCTATTTCATCAAAACCTGTCTCCATATCACACACATTTGGCTGCGATGCATGTGCTTGGTTATACTCTTATTAGACTGGATGTCAAGGATAGGCTGGTTGGGCTTCGGATATTTACACCCCGCCTTTACTCAATAATATTAAAAAGGGATTATTTTTAGAGCACAATAAACCAGATATCGCCCTACAGGACAAACAGAAAAAGATTTGTTTCCTGATAGAATATTAAAAAAATATTGGAAGAGTTACGCCAATAATAATAATTGGTGTTGTTGTTACTTTTGAAGTATAAGGCAAGCAAGGCGACTTTAGAGTTACATCTAGATTGTCTGAGCGTACTGGCTACCTAGACTATGAATTTAAGTGCGGTACTATATTTGATTTAGATTCACATACGCACAAATACCCTGGGGAAAGGTGTGAATCCATCTCTTCTCCCTCCAACTATGGATTAAATAGCAGGACAGACTGAGTTCTTTAGCCTTGGTTGGCAGAAAGATATGACAACCTACTGCAGAGGAAATTCTACCTCGTCCGTCATGTATCGAAAGATGCATGATCGCCCAAGCATCTATCACGTGTGGCACATAACTGACTGACTATATTTGTGGCAAGGTCTCATCATTTTACAGTTGAAATGGCTAGATGCAACCGTAAGTTCTATGCTAACAGTTTCTTCTATCGCACTTCTCGCTTGTGGAACTCTCTTCCGGTTTCTTGCTTCACCGTCAACTTTGCTCTTCAAATAATTTTTAGTATTTTTATTCTTGTAGTTTTTTCTTATGCTCTATAACACTCAATAACCCCCTGAATCATAATGGCTCTAATGCCTTTCTGTGGGGTGGGGGGAATGATTAAAAAATAAATTTACATTGGTGTGATAAGGTGCCGCATTTTTTAAATTCGGAACCGTGAGCAATGAACAAATATCGAAACCACGCTTACAGATCGGCTGCTATAATGGGTTGGTCACGCCATCCACATGACTCAAAACTGGCTCCTGCGGCGTTGTTTTTTCGGTGAATTGAAGTCAGACGAAAGAGCTATCGGTGATTAGTTGAGGAGATACAAAAACTACAACAGGGTAATCTGCAATAACTTAAAAAATCAATTAGAAAAGTTGTCTGGCGATCGGACCGGTTGGAGAAACAAGGTTAGCCCGGCAGACAATGTAACAAGCAGAATCCTTCTGCTATCATCTAAGATCTTTTCTGATGACCTACTTGCAGAAAAGTTAGCCATTCCTTTTTGGTCGAATCAACGACACGATTACCTATCCCCCATGTGTAGAACCGGATGACTTCGTCTGAAAAGTCTGTCTAAAATAGAAGTTCTTAACCGGTTTTCACATCGTCACAAGGAGACCCTGGTAAACTGACAACTACATTGAATAATTAGCTGCATCTAGTGCAAGGAAAGTTGGTTCACTATGTCGCGACAGAAGGTTTTTTCTCGTCTGAGTCCATCCTTCACATTTACAAATCTGCCATTCATCCATGCATGGAACCATGTTGCCAGATATGGTCTGGGGCCCCCATTGTTCATTTCGAGGTTCTCGACAAAATCCAAAGACGGATATACAATGTGATCGGTTCTGACTTTGGATATCCACTCACACACATTCTCACAGATGTGATGTGGCTTCTCTCTGACTTTTCTACAAGTATTTTCATGGCATCTACTCCGACGAGCTATTTTCACTGGTGCCCAAACTGCATGAATTTAAGCGTGCTACTAGATTAGCATCTCGGTCCCACCCTTTTACGGTCGAAACAGTTAAATGTAACCGCCTCTTCTACTCCAACAGCTTCTTCTCTCGCACTTCCCGACAACTGAACTCCCTTCCTCTTACTTGCTTCCCTGATAACTATAATCTTCAAAAATCTAAATGTAATGTCAATCGACATCTTCTGTGGCCTTGATCTCCGTTCTTCTTATCCTTTTATCACCTCCCCCCGTATACCCAGTCTTTCTAGTGGCACTCCTTCCTTGTTTGGGGTGAAATGCTTATAAAAAAATGCCCAGAAATATTTTGAGATTTGTGGGGGCCACAATTTCAATGAAAGTCGTCACGGTGTTACAATTATGTTGCCTTTTATACTGTAGTTGTAATAAACGTGTTATGGTCCAATATCCTCGCACCACAATTATGGTCCAAGGTTAGAACCAAGGAAGAACAACACGAACACAAGAGCAGAATAACAAACATATATTACAACAGAAATATAGTACAAGAAGTTGAAGGTGTTAGTAATGACTGTCTGTCTGGTTTAGAGTGAACTAATATTGTCTCGACTCTTTACACCATTCATTGTATTTAATATCCCACCCACTAGGAATATATGTGGCACGAGGCCAAGTTTAAAGTGGGTTCCTCCGAGCCCGTAGTCTCGGCCAAAAATATACCCTTTGAACCCGCCTAGACGGGTTCAGGGCCCGTCTACCTCCCCGGACGAAACCCTGCCCTTCGGCAAAGCTTCGTCCGGGTTCCTCTCTGCCAAAGCAGAGAGTTAGACAGTCATGACCTGGTGCTCGTTACACCGTTCATTCATTACTCCTCTTGAGAGGCGCAGTATTTATAGTGTCAGGAAGAGTCCATTATCGTTATTGGTAAGTTCCCATAACAAAACGTAAATTCTGTAATTTTCGAGAGGTTTTTTTTTTATGTTACTAGTGTGCATTTATGTAAAATTTATGTTTTTCTTCTTTCTTTTTTTCAGGAAGGTTCACCCTGTACAAGGCCCACTCGAGGTAGAGAGTTACGTTAAGGGTTAGTTTATATGGATAGGATGAGAAGATAACGGTTGAGGCTAGACTTCAACAGGTTAAGATTTTTGTGATCAGGGAAACATCCTCCAGGGAGTCGGTTCGCGGGAAGAAGGTATTTGAATGGAACTTACTTCTCACTGATGGAATACGGGAGTAATGTAGGTGATTTGATACAATGTAAGTGGCATGGTATGTCCTAGCTCTGAAGGTCAGACCTGATGGACCCCGAAATGTAGTACGCTTTATCACTTTCCATAAAGCAGTGACAGATTCATCACATCCCGCCTGTGTGTGTGTGAGAGAGAGAGAGAGAGAGAGAGAGAGAGAGAGAGAGAGAGAGAGATTGGAGGGTGGAAAATAATTCTTCTCTCACAATCGGGAGGTTTTTATTTTGTGTAACTTTATTTTGCATATTTTGCATAGTTTTTAAATCTGTGTGTTCTTTTAAGAGCAGAACTTTTCTGTCGAAATAAAACTTGTTTTTTTAAAAGCAATACGTTTATAAGGAAATTGTAAAATTAGCTTTTGTTAAAGTAAATGGCTAGGAGTGTGGTGGCTCATCAATCCAAAGGAAAAAAAGGTTGAGAACCACTGGTTTACAACCTTGCGAGAAGATCGAATACTTGAAGAATGTCTCCGAAAGGATATACCTAACACGGCCGGCGTTAAATTGACGGAGTTTAGAAGTGAATAAATAATTATGTTGCGTATGGAAAATCTAGTCTTGTATTAAACGTTGCGAGCATAACACATGGTTACCGCATGCTAATTTTCATGGAAAGCAGACAGGCTTTTTCCCAGTTATAAGATTGACGCAAAATACTATCGGGTTTTGTACATAATTATCAAGCGTTTTTGTAGGCGAGTTATTTGTTAATAATAATTGCTGTTTTGTTTACTTTTTTTAAATAAAAAAATAGAAAAATGCGTGTTGATAATCATACGCTCCGGAATAATCATTTAAAAATGTTATTGTTGAATTGTTATGTTTCTTTTTTTTATAATATTTAAAAAAAAAACGCCTGATAATTATGCACCAACCCAATACATTCTTTTTACAAATTTAAAGAAGTAGGTGGCCTTGGCTCCCCACAACTTCCTTTTTATTTAATATTTGCGAATTGCCATGGTTTCTTGGAAAACTTTGTGAAGCGGTTTCAAATTGCTACCGTTTTGAATTCAGAGATCTCATTTTCTAGACCAACCAAGGCTAAGGTGCCTAATCTGCTCATGCTATTCTATCCATAGGTTAAATAGAAGAGAAGAATTCGTGCTTTACCGTTGCACTATTCACACCCTTATACTCATCTATCTCTCTAAATAAAAAGTATATTCTGGTTATGTTGAGCCTTTCCACGTGAAACTCTTGAGTCGGCTAATCAGATAAGTCACTTGAACTTTTCATAATTTATTTGATATCATAGCTCTAGTTATATACTGAGCCTGAAAAATGCGTATATTTTAGTTGTATTATTATTATTATTATTATTATAAAAAAGTGCATTCCTATATTTGCAAAGTTTATAATGGTTGAAAAATGATACATAAATTTTATATACCAGAAAATTAATTACAAAGAGGAAAAAATATTTACAAAACAAACAACTCAATGTATTAGTTGCTAACCGTAATGAGCCTGAGCATAATTTCGATTTAAAAAAGCTACTTTAATTAAAAGAGAACATAATTTACTAATACGAATATATATATTTGAAAGTGCTTTAATTGCTAGATCATCTGCAGTAAATTTGTATCCAGGTTCTTGTAATGTTTCTCCTTCATTGACAATTCCTCTATTTGTCTTTATTTCTGAGTATGATATACACTATTTATATTATTCGGACATTATTTGTTGCCATATTTATGGCAACGTTTCGGCTGTTGTAAGCTCCGGCCTTCTTCAGGTGGCTGGAATGTCGAACTGAACCCTTTATTTCGCTCGTTAGGGTAGACTGTTCTAGTTCCACGTGCCACGTCTAGTATCAGTTATCTAAACTGTTAATTTACCTCTCCACTGCCTTAACCATGTATTGAACTCACAACTCTTTTGGTTCTGTCACTGGATCTAACCCAACGCCTTTATCCACTGTGCCATGTCTCCTTAAGGACATCTGTGTATGAATTTTGTGATTTATAAACTTAATGTCTTCAGCGAAATAAAGAGTTCAGTTCGACACTCCGACTACTTGAAGAAGGCCGGAGCGTACAACGGCCGAAATGTTGTGATAAATATGGCAACAAAGATGAGGACAGTAGTCCGAATTATGTAAATAGTGAACACGATGTGGGATACTTGATAACAAAAGTGATAAAAATATAAAGAAAAAGAAATTAAATGAAATTGGTTAGACTATATATGCAAATGCATATATAAAAAAAAATAAAATTTAAAAGTTTAAAATTTCAGCGTACTCTCTCTACTTCGTGTACATGTGTGGTTAGATCAACGCAAACATCAATTTAGTCCCGATAAAGTCGTTAAGAATGAAACGCGTCAGAGGAAAACCTTTTCTACTTTGTCATTTTCCTAACAAAATGTGTAATGCCTAATATGCTTTAAAGCATTATTAGTATCATAAAAATCATTACTTACGATTGTAGCATTCAGCACCTGCATCTTGGGAGTGATCACAATCATTGATACCCCAGGGTTGATGAGCGCAGTCTGCCAATGAACTTTCATCGCCTGCGCATTTTATTTCATCCATCCAAATCGTTCCCGTACCGGGATTCGACAATTCTTTGCCGTCTAAAGCTCGTCCATTTCTGGCATAGAGCAAAGAAATCATTTCGAGACGTTGTTATTTATACTACTAATATACAAAACAAGATCAAAATAATAATCATAAAATATAATTAGAAAATAATGGACGTGAAAGAAGCAGAGTATATGTCATGCTCAAATCAACCAAACAGTATACCGAGCGTAGATATGAACACAGACTTTGAAAGAACGGATAAAAGATTATCAGTTATGACAAATTTTGAATAGGAAATATGAAATTTTGGATAGGAAATATGAAAATTGAACATGGGATAAATTGAGCTATGAATACATTTTCCCAACGCCTAAAGATGTTGCAAAGCAAAATATTGATCCCCAAAACTCAAGTCATGTTCTTAAATAGTCTCGTCAGATCTAGACTCTCATACGGCTGTCATACATGACATCCGACTCATTCAGTGATGTCTAAACTATCATTTGTAGGCAACCCCTTTTTAGATTAACTCTTTCCGAGATGTCTAAACTATCATCTGTATGCAATCCTTTTATCAGATCAACTTATTCAGAGAAAAAAACGAGAAAGAAATCACATTAAATGCTGTATAGGATCAATGAGAATGACTACAATGACTTTCTCCTTTCAGTCACAATTTCAGAACTAATTATCGAATCAAAATCGGAAGGCATTTTATCTTACTTTTGTTTTAGATTCATCGAAATCCCATTTTACATGATTAATTTGTCACAATTTTGATTTGCCTCTGAAAAAAAATTAGATTAAATGCTGAATAGAATCACTGAAAATGATTACAATGAACCTGTCCTTTCAGATCATCCAGCAAAATGAAGTAGTTTGGCTTTTCCAGGAACCAAACAAAAAAACAAAAAATAGAAAAAAAAAGTTGGTAGTCGGTTGTAGTAGTAACAAAGTAGCAATAGTTAATTTAGATTTTAGAAATACTTGTTTTTTTTTTATATGGCATATAACTTACCTATCATTATAATTGTGCAATAAAATTAGATTAGATTTCTATTATAAATAGCTTTAAAAGACTTATCTTGATGTACATTTCCTATCTTCAGTTATAAAGCCAGGTCACACTGGTTTAACTAACCTACTAATAGGTGGGTACAGGTACAATCAACAAACACAAGCAACAACTTACATTATAAATTTGCAGATATAAACAGTGTGGACATAGGAATTGACACTGTATGGTGACTGACAGTCTCATTTCTTAATCTGATGATGATGCTTAAGGCATGAGACTGACAGAAAGCGACATTGCATAGAGACTATATATATATATATATATATATATATATATATATATATATATATATATATATATGGATATTGAGGTCCACACCCAGCAGTGACAATTTGTTTCATGCTTAAATGTTTAAGCATGAAACAGACTGTCGCCGCTGGGTGTTGACCTCAATGTCCACTTTTATATTTTATATTTACATACGCTCTATCTCTGATATTAAGCACTTTAATCCATAAATACAACATACCTTATTTTGTTATATCAACGAACACTCGTTTGACACTTTTGTAATACTCGTTGTAGTAGAGACTTTGTAATAGCAGATACAACTATAGTACGCAGTCAAACAATGCTGGTTTCAGACGCCTTCGAATAACACTCGCACTAATAGTACTTGCTCCATAATACTTGCTCGAAAAGTAACCACCGAATAGCGATCCGAATAAAGAAATAGTATAGTGAATAGAGTAGAGAATAGCGGTCCCTATATTAAGAGAGGATAGACTAGCGATCCGATAGCGAACCGATTAGTAATAGGTGTTAGACTAGAATGGTGATCAATCTAGACGTCACGTGACTACCTATATATGCGTTTCCTCTATGGTCATATGACCCATTTAATTCAATAATGGGATCGTCTGTGTTTGCTCACTGGCGATGTATGTTCAAACTGAAGTGTCGGCAACGCCACTTTATTCCTATATAACAATTTTTTAAGACAACAATATATCGATTAAAAGCTTTTCTAATTTAATAATATCTAAGTTTTATTGCATTTTTTATTTTGCGATTCAGAGCAGATTTTCTTTTACTGAGGTGTTAACAGATTTATCGATAGTTTAATATAGTTTTTATTCAATAACTATATCACCTAACCAGTAAAAAATTAATATAGAAGCTTTATGGATTTTTGTAATTAAAATTTAAAAAAAATGAAAACAATTCTTGTAAAAATTTATTATTCATCGAAATATTTTTTGTGATACCAACAAATACTCGTTGTCACTTTCGTAATGCTCGTTGTAGTAGAGACTTCGTAATCACAGATACAACTTATAGTAACGCCGTTTAACAATACAGGTGTCAGGCGCCTTCGAATATCACTCGCACTAATAGTACTTGCTCGATAATAGTAATCTGTGTAGTGATCAGCATAGAAAAATAGTATAATGAATAGTATAGAGAATAGCGATCAGTATAGTAATAGAGGATAGAGTAGAAATAGTGATCTACTTATTCAAAATGGGATCGTCTGTATTTGCTCTTTGGTGATCTGTGTTCAAACCCCAGTGTCGGCAGCGACACTTTATTCCTATATAATATCTTAAAACTATATTTTTATCATATATCTTAGACCCGTTTATTTTCAAATATCCCCATTCCAGAAAGAATTATTACTTTCCCATACACTATAAAATGTTTAAAATTTAAAAAGAAACGGTTAAATTCATAACCTCATGTTATTTAAAATATATACGACATAATTTAATCCCAAACTAAATTAATTTAAATGCTAATATATATTTCTTAAAAAAGTTTAAAGAACATCACTTTCGTTTCTGCAGATGATGCATAAGGCATGAGATTGAGAGTCTCTATGCAGTTTATATTTCTATGTCCTTTCAGATCACCCAGCAAGACGTATACGTATTTGGGCCTTTCCATGATTTCAAAATCAAAAATAATAAAAAACTAAGTCAAAGAACAAAACGCAACAGTCAAGAACAAGATATTTACATTTGAATTATTGTCCTCATCTTTGGGGCTATTATCACAACGTTTCGACCATCGTACCTCCCCACTCCCGTCTTCATCAGGAGTTGGTCAATCTTACGGAATTTTGAACTTCCTTTTTACGTAATCCACAGACCTTGTCTAGGAATATCTCATCGAGTTCTTATTTTGTACTGATCAGTTATAGCACAAGTTACCCGGCAACATGTCGCTAAATTCACAAAGCAACTTTTGAATCCACTATTTTGCATTTTTAGTTTAGCTTAGATAATCTCCTCTCAACAAACTCCATCTCAAGAATTTTTTTTTTTCAAGATTTGGATAATCTGAATTGGACATCAGTCAGCCCAAGAATTAAGAACATCAATGAAAATAACTGCATTGAATTAATGACATCGCCCAGCAAAACTTTATTATCTTTTTCCAGGGCCGAAAATTTTCAAATTTTAAGTCTAGGGTCAAGATCGCTGGCATAGTAGTAACAATAGAAAACTGTGTTCAAGCATGAAACAGACTGTCGCCGCTTGGATTTGACCCAAGTGTTCACTTTTACATTTATATACGCTATGATATTGAGCACTTTTACCCATAAATATAGCTATATTTTTATCTTATTTTATCTTATGCTAAATTTGGTGTTAAAAAAAATATGTTAACTGTTCGTTCCAGACACTTCTCACCAGACTCTGTCTTATGCCCTTATAAATTTGGTCTGGTGCTTTTGATATGTATCTAGATGTTCTTGATAAAATCCAAAGAAGAATCTGCAATGTTATCGATCCAGACCTGGCATTTCAACTTAAGTCACTTTCCCGCTGCCGCAAGATAGCTTCCCTGTATCTTTCATGAATTTAAGCATAGTACTGTTTAGCATCATTTTCCTGTTAAAATTGCTAAGTGTAACCGTAAGTTCTATGCTAATAGTTTCTTCTTTGGCACTTCCCGCCCGTGGAACTCTCTTCCAGCTTCTTGCTTTCCCATCAACTGCTATTTACAAAAACTTTAAAGTAAAATCAATCTTAATATTTAGTCTCCTTGAGTACTGTTATTTTTATTTTCCTTTCTCCTCGATAACTTTTTTTTTTCAATTTGGTAAGCATTTGCGTCTTAGTGGCTTAAAGAGAAATAATTAAAAAGAAAACTGTACTCGATTTTTTTAGAAATTTGCAGAAACAACTCGCGTTAACTGATTAATTGGATACATTATACAGGAAACGGTCGTAGTTTTCCAAACTGCAATAATTTAATTTCATATATAGCGGGATTTACCTGTACACATGTGCTTGTAAATTTTACATTAATTACGAACTTAAATAGGTATTCTCTAAATTGACGTAGATATAAAACCAAAGATCACTCAGTGAGGATCAAACGCACTAAAACTGTAAAAATCTACGAAACTGACTTGTTGAAAAATCTTACACTTCGAATAATCAACTATTTAACTTTAGCGTAATCCGACACAGATCTGCGCAAGTGGGTTATCCAGGGAGGATCCAATTATTAAACTATCAAAGTGATATGTGAAACGGGCTTCTTGACCCTTACACCACGTTAAACATCCAAAAGGTACCCTAAAAAAAAAAACAACCCCCACCACCAAAAAAATGAACTCTTCGTGGAAATCGAAGACGAGCTCTTTTTTTTTTTTCACCTCAACCAAAGCAATAAAGCCCCTAAGACGCAAAGGGTTAATGAGTATTAGGGAATACAAGAAAAAATAAACAATATTAAAGAGAGAGAACAATAATAGAACAAGAATTAACACAACAGAAGATTACGATTGACATTGCATTTAAATTTTTAGTTTTTTCGAAACTATTGGTTGTATATGGTCTGAAACTTTTCATGCTTCAAAATATGAAGAGGCGATGTTTTTCTTTAGTATTAACTTTGCTTCACAGTTTTTCAACATTCGAATTTGTACTACCTTGACTTTGTTTACTAATTTTGTCGAATTTATGTACAGTATATAATTTCCTATTAGGCCGTGATTTTTTTCACAGTTTGCAACAATAATTGGTAATATGCTAAACTTATTTTTTAATTCCACATAGGCTTCAAAATGGCCTAACGTTTTTATCATAGATCCGTCGACCTGATTCAATTGTACAAGACTTTCTTTTAATTTTGGTTTTCCTAATTTTTTTCCAGAAATCTCTGAGTATCAACGCCACGTCACTTCGCGTATCCAGTTCCATTTCCAATATTGATTCGATTTCCTCAATTACAAGACGTACATACCTATTACCTTTTCATTTTGTTGGACCTTCTCTACGCTTTTCTTTTTGAATTTACACATGCGTTTAAAAATTTGGTTCTCTAAGTGTAATGTGGTACAAGGCCGAAAGTATGGGGCACCCAGTGATAATTCATCACTCTATGACAGGGGCTACAGTCGAATGTGTAAATATGTACTAACGTGTATCCAAGATTGTGACATACCACCATGGCTCCTGCATCATCCCAGTAATTGTCACAAATGGTTCCCCAAGAGTTTTTGTAAAACACCTCAACCCTTCCTCTGTCCTTTTGTCCGATAAGACGAACATTTATTGGATAGCCTGAAAAAGAAATGTGAAAAAGGATTATATCATAAAATTTAAGCAATTTTCTCAGTGTTCCACCAATTAAATCATGGTTGGCTCAGAAATGGCTACGGAATCTAAATCTGGACGTGCAGTGTCTGAGGAAGCGAGGAAACTAACGTTCGGTGGTTGGGATTAATCTCAAAGCTGCACAGTGGTGCTATTCCCATGGCTTTTCCGTATTTTTTAAGTCGAATTCACGCCACTAAAGCCACTAAAGCACAAGGGATTATTTGGTGTGGAAGTATTAAGAAACAGAAAACATTATTAAAGAGAGAAAATGATAGAAAAGTAATCAGGAAGACAGGAGATAACGATTGGCATTGCATTTAAATCTGCAGTGGGTTGTTGATATAGACGATCACATTGGCTCATCATAGTGAGGCCATCGGAACAAGGGTGACATACAAATACCGTGAGGGCACTACGGCTTCATCAGCACAATTGGGACAGAAACGTGCAGGAATTGAACTTGGCACGCCTAATTCACTTTCCGCGCTGATATCTATTCACTACCTACGCTACTCTCACTTTCTTTCCTATCTAAGAATTACATTTCTATTAATGTCAAGCACTGGAAGATGTTCTCTGAAGTATAATCGATAAGCTAATAGTAAACGGGGATTAAAAAAAAAACATAATAGAAAAATAGCGGAAACAGTGTGAAGATTAGAACTGACGACCCGAAGAACCCATTGGTTAAATGCTTACCAGGAGTAGACTTATAATGAATAGAGTGAATTTAGAATTCATAATTTCACATTTGTATTTTTAATACTACTACATATGATAATAATTAAAAGGAAAAAATGGAAAAAAACAAACAAAAAAAAACGAGCTAGCTTACCGATTACGAAACTCACCCAACAGAGCTAAATCGAGGTTAATAAACAGGTATGCATTATCAACAAAAGAAATATATGTAAAGAAAAAATAAATTGGAATCAATTGAGAGACCAAGGACAAAATACTTCTGTTTGCAGTGCGAAGGTTTCATACGGTCTCCAATATGTTAAGGTCGTAATTAGAGTAGGGCCTACTCAGGATGGAAAACGGGTACCTCGAGGCGGTGTAATGGTTCGCAAGCTTGTCTCGCTAGAACAGTTACGACCGAGTAGTGAGTTCGATCCTCACTGGGTGCCCCATACTTTCAGCCTTATGCCACATCTAAGTTACGCTTGGAAAATCAATACTCAGGATGGAAAAGGAGTCCACACTGAAATTAACCGCACAATTGCGGTTGTTTATAACGTGTTACGCAATGGAATATCAGTATGTATTGATCAGAAAATGGTAAATGAGTTCCGGATTTTTGTGGGCACGTGTTGTTTAATCCGAGCATCCAGACAAGGCTTTGAATATTGTAGCCAAGTGTCGGCCCGAAGATTCAGTAGCATGTAGGATATCCTGCTGGCAACAAAGGAGGCGGGAAAAACATTTTGTTAGTGCTACAAAACTTAATAACCGCCATAAATACACAAATTTTATTTTTAATATTACCACACATGGTAATAAATAAAAGAAAAAAAAATGAAAAAACGGAGCTAGCTAACCGGTTTCGAATCTCACTCAACTGAGCTAATCTAGTTTAGTAAATATGTATACTTTACCAATAAGAGGAATGGAATGTATATAAGGAAAAATAAATGGAAATCAGTTGGAGGCCAAGGACAAAATCCCTCTGTTTACGAGGCTAATGTTTCATGAGTAAAATATAGGGTGACCCCAAAAATAACGGGAACTTTTTAACAATCCAAGAGTGATGGAAGTAAAATATTTTATTCATAGTAATTGAAACCTTAAAACATGTCATTTAAGAAACAATGATGGAATTTTCATTTTTTAAAAATTACGTCCTGTAGATGGCGTCCTCCTGTACGAATGTATTCTTGAAATCTGCTGTAAAGATTCCTCATTGACTGCTGCAACAGCTCAGCTGGGATACTGTGAATTTCATCTTGAATTCCAAATGGCGAAATGTTTACTTGCTCAAGGTCACTGTCTCGCAGTGTTGCCACTTGCTCATGTCTGGCAATACACACTTAAAAAATTCCCGTATTTTGGGTCACCCTGTATATATGACCTCCAAAAGTAAAATGTAGTGCAGTAATAAAATGTTTAAATGCTTTAAGACGAGGTACAAACTTACTTACTCAGCAGATTGAATTTACTATTGAAAATTAAAAACAAACTTTCAAATTTATACTCACCAGCGTCAATTGCAGCAAATAAATTTAGAGCCAACAAAGCCAAACATATCTCTGCAATGAAATAAGCACAAAAATTTATTTGTACGCCAATATCCGAGAAATCGTTTGTAAATTTTTATTAAATAACACTGGCCGCTACATGTTTTTGTCGCAAGCCAATTTGTACTTTTTTCCTAGCTAATTTTAAGACGCTTAGACCAAACATTTTACTGGTTAACTACTCTTTAGTGTACAGAACTTTAATATTTTTTGGAAAAAAGAATGGTTAGCCTAATTTCCCATAATATGCAAATATTAATGACTCATTCAAAAATAAATAAATATACATGAATGGTACCGAATGAAACACCCGGTTTTTATATTATGATAATACATTATGATAATGACAGTATTATTGTATTGTTCTAAGTTATCGAAGAAAGGATTATATGATGCTTTATCATAATGACAGTATTATTGTATTGTTCTAAGTTATCGAAGGAAGGATTATATGATGCTTCATCATAATGACAGTATTATTGTATTGTTCTAAGTTATGAACTGAAACATTATAAAGTCCTGGGATATAATCCCTTTACATCGTGTGCATCAACTATTTATGATAGAAATTTTGATATTTGTCAGAGATATAGGCTTACGGCCGTATCACGTTGAAACACCGGTTCTCGTACGATCAACCGAAGTTGCGCAACTTTCGTTCAGTTCGTTAGTTGGGTTGTGGCGGACTTCACCATATTTATTTAACTTAGATTAGGAAACCAAACTGACGCGAAGAAAAAGAGGATAAGCCAAAGACATAAAATTTGTATTCAACAAGAATGTACAAACAAGGAAGTGAAAGAAAAGCACACATTGAGTAAAACAAGAGTTGTCTCTATTTAACTATCAATTGTTCCAAAGTTCACTGAAAGAAATAAGGTTGTAATGGATGTTTTCAACAGTTTTGCTGTGCAAGAAAATATTATGGGAGTATAGGGAATATTCAGCATGTGAGTGGTGGTGTGAGTGAGAAGATTGGCACATGTTTTCAACTGCCGTTGATTCCTGTGGCAGCTGACATCTCACTGCTTAACTAAGAATATTCTTTGCTTATATAGGTAATCATCGGCTCCGAAAGCGCTGCGCGGGAAGAATCACTCTCCACGTGCAGATAATCTGATTGGTTGGCATGGATAAATCAGAGAGCGAGCTTTGTGGAGACTCACGAAAAACTTCTGGGAAACGATTCTCCCAAAAGTGCACAAAATCGACTACATGAAAATATAGCGATTATAAAATTGTCGCATTACACGGTAGTGTTGATTTATTATCCAATGAATGCTTGTGGTTGTATAATTTGAATTTGCGTATTGTATACATGTGTGATGACGACGACGACGATGATGATGATGATGATGATGATGATGATGATATCAAAGGCTGATATATTTCTTTTGTATTTCGGAACTTGTTATATTTCACAATAAGATTGCGTTTAAGCTTCAATTAACAACTTATTTTGCTATACATTTACATTAGCTCGTCATGACAAAAGTATATTGTATTATTTTATCTATTTATTTCCCCCCCCGTTTCTATTAATTCCCTGTCTCTGTCCCATGATGTTTGTTACATTTGACATACAAAATATATCGGCAAATGTACTAACTATTATGGGACACAATATATTTTATTATTTTATCTATTTATTTTTCAACCGTTTTTATTAATTCACTGTCTCTGTTCCATAATATTTGCTACATTTTGCATACAAAATATATAGGCAAATGTACTAATTATTATGGGACACAGTATATTTTATAATTTTATCTATTTTTTTTTTTTATATATATATATATATATATATATATATATATATATATTTTCATTAAAAACGACAGACAAGGTACTACAGTTGAGCTTTTTATTTAATTTTTCTTGTGTTCTGACAAGAGCTTTCTTTTCTGGACAAAGGGTGTGTAAGAACTGTCCGAATGTTCTATATTTCCGAGCGCTCTTGACAGAACACAAGAAAAATTAAATAAAAAGCTCAACCGTAGTACCTTGTCTGTCGTTTTTAATGAAACATGCATAAAGGAAGGATTGCTGCCTAAATATACAACTATATATATATATATATATATATATATATATATATCTGATACTACTGACATTAATGCTTAAATGATAAACGCTATATATACACATACATATATATACATATACATATATATACACAGAGACACATGTATATACATACACGCACAAATGCACATATACTTATATATCTTCACTGTGTTATTATTTCGTTTTTAATTAGGTTTGGTAATATCATAAGTATTAATCGTAGGCGGTTAGATTTATAATTATATTTAGTTATTTTTAGAATTTATGTTCATATGCCTGTATTTATACGCTTATGTATACGCGCACGTGCACATCTGTGCACACACATATACAGGTATACGTACGCGTACATGAGTACATATAAATACGCGTACATGTACATGTACATGTGTGCTTTGTAATTGATAAACTAGTGCTTAAATGGTGAAGCTATTTTTTACTATTTTTAGGGTATTATGGTTGGAGTTAATAGAATTTGTTTTGATATATATATATATATATATATATATATATATATATATATATATATATATATATATATATATATATATATATATATATATAAATAAAAAAGAACAAGATATATAATCCTGTGTTCTTACTGACATTTTATTTTTATAAAATAGTGCTCAATGTAAATGTACAGAGCATTAATATTATAAATTAAGTAGTTTAAAATATGTTTTTTTCGCTACACAGTCCTCAAAGACACATGGCACAGTGGATAAAGGCGTTGGTTAGATCCAGTGACAAGACCCAAAGAGTGTGAGTTCAATACCCGGTTAAGGCAGTGGAGAACTTTCAGAGGGAAAATTAGCAGGAGATAACTGATATATAAAAAAAGAACTGACATCCATGGAACTAGAACAGTCTACCCAAGTGATCGAAATAAAGGGTTCAGTTCGAAATTCCAACCACCTGAAGAAGGCCGTTAATAAATATGGCAACAAAGATGAGGACAATAGTCGGAATAATGTAAATACTGTACATAATACCTCATCACAGAAATATAGACAGACTCAGTAATGGCCATGTTTCAAAAATGGAAGCTAAAAGCTTCAAATTAATTTTGTAATTAAATTAAAAACAGTAGTTTCATTTCATCAAAATTCGCTTGAGGATGAAATGGAATTAATGTTTTTAACTTCCATTTTTGAAACATGGTCATTACTGTGTAGCGAAAAAAATATTTTAAAGAAATTAATATATATATATATATATATATATATTGTGTATTTGTGCTGTAATCCCTCTTTTATGCAAGTTTCGCTGAAAACGATTAACAAGGTGTGATGCTTGAGTTTTTTATATACTTTCTCATATGTTCTTATATAAATTATACGAACACATGAGGAACCATAAAAAAGATTCACTCACCACACCTTGTCAGTCGTTTTCAGCGAAACTTTATATATATATATATATATATATATATATATATATATATATATATATATACCGCACACTCAAACACGCACCACATGCACGCTACACACACACACACGTATATGTAATTAGAATAAGTGCATGCTTATATTATATTTTATCCTTTATCGCTTATTTAATGTTTCACTTTTATTTTTATTTAATGCTTATGAGTTTATTTTTTTTATTTGCCTTGGTGCTATATATTGAGGTATTAGTTTGTTCGTGTGTGTGTGTGTGTGTGTGTGTGTGTGTGTGTGTGTGCGTGCACATACCTATATGTACATGTATACACACGCGTAAGATCTGTATGTTTAATATATTTATTTATTAATAAATTAAGTTTATATTACATTTGTTTCCTTTATGTATTTATTTACAATTTGTATTATATTACTTTTATTTAATTAATTTATTTATTTAAGGTTTATATTATGTTATTTTATTTATATTTATTTGTTTATTTTTAATTAGTTCTTAGTTTGGCAAAGTAAGTATTTATTTATATGCCTACATTTACCCATTGTTTCAGTTTTCTTGTTTAAGAGTTTTTTGGGTTTTTTTAAAACTAATTATTGCTAATTTTTCATGTAAGCATAATTTCCTATTTGGTTTTGGTAGCGATGTTTTCTTTTTGGGTCCATATGTATTTTGATAGGGTTGTATTTTTTGTGATTTTTTTTCTTTCGAATGATATTATCTTAGAAATAAAAATATCTTTCCTTAATTTTTTTCTGTGGCCTCTATGTAATTTTTTTCGTCAGTGTTAAGGTTATTATTTACGATAGCTTTGTATATTATGTTATTGGTTAAACATTTGTTGTTAAGTAGGTAATTTTCTTTGTTTCTGCAGTTACATTTGATGGTGCATGTTATTATTATTGTTGTTGTAATTGTTATTGGTTTTGTTGAGTTTTTTTTATTGTGCTTAATTATATTTTATGTAGATGTAACTTAACTTTGATTGTATTTTTATTGATAATTTTTGGTAATTTGTTGTTTTATGGCAGTGTTTATCAATTATTTTGAAGAATATTTTCCCTATTTTTGTTTTAATTGTATTTTGTATGAGGGCGGCGAACCAAATTATATTTTTCTTCTGTCGTTTTTTTTTAATTGTTTTCATTTTTGTATTCAAGTGTGTTTGAATATCCGCTGTTTCTTAGGACTGATTCATATGATTTTTTTTAAAATTTTCTGTGAATATTTTTAGGCTACTAGAATGTGTTGAAATTCTTTTATTTATAGATATGGGTATTTCTTTAAATACGTTAGGGAGTGATTAGAATATTTGTTAATGCATATTGGGTTGTTGTTTGGTTTTCTTTTTGTTCTGTAGATTCCGTTGTTTAGATTGAATGTTATATCTAAGAAATTTACTATTTTTTATTTGATTTTATATCTATTGTAAATCCTCGGGTTTTGAAGGCTTTTATTGTTTCTTGATTTATTTTTTTCAGCAGTTCTGTCGTCGCAGTTTCTGAGAATTAATAAACCGTCGTCCCTGTATAGACCTATATCTTTTTTGTTCATGATATTTGTTAATTTATTGATTTACGCATATGCCTATGCGTTCGCATACTTCTGCACCATTGTTACGTCAAAGTTGTTACTATTATTATTATTATTATTATTGTTATTTTGTTGTCCATATTTTTTAATGTGGTATAATATGATTTAATGCGTTGTTTAGTGTATGTTCATTAATAGATGAGTAGAAGTTTTTATATCTAATTATGTGAAGGAGAAATTTTATTTATTACTATTAATGTCATTAAACCAATTGATTGTAGCTTTAATATTTTTTCATTGGTTTATGTTTTGTATTCTTTTTAGTTTTGAGTATATTTTTTTCTATTTTTTGCTTATTTTCCTAATATTCCTTTTTGTGACGTTTAGTAATCGACATGTTGGTTTGGTCGAAAAAATTGTCTTTATGGACTTTTGACTTAATAAATGGTTCTCCTTTTGCTAATTGTTTTATTCTATTAGCTAATTTTAGTTTAATGACTATGTTTTTAGCTTCTTTATTTATATTATTTTCTGCTTCGTTATTAGTGGTTTCGTAAAATTCAGTAACTTCTTTAACGACTTGTGTATTACAATAGTTGTTTTTTTAGATAGATTATTCTGGATTTATCTGCTTTTATAAATAGTTTTTGTGAGTTGTTTATCATTTTTTTTATCATCTGCAAGTCTTTTTTGGAAATTATTGTTGAATTTTCTTATTTCCAAATTATTCATTATGTTTGTAAAGTCATTTTCAAAAGCAATGGGGTCGTTTTGCTTTGGTGGGCATTTCATTGATGTAAATCTAAATTTGTTAATATTATTGGTTTTATCGGTGTTGTTGTGGTTGTCAAAATTGTCATTGTCTTTTTTGAGGAAATAGGATACTTTCCATCTTATAAAGTGTTATATTTTTTGTTAGTTTGATTTTGTAGTCATGTAGGTTTGATGTTGGTATATTTTTTCAAGAAGTAGGTATATTATTCTTCACCGGTAGCACGACTAAGACACGCTGCAAACGTTTTGGTTATAATGCAGATTTTATATATATATATATATATATATATATATATATATATTATGCTTTATTTTAAATATTTTTGCTACACGCGTTTCGGGTATTGTGGCCGTCACCAGACAAAGAATGGTTATTTGTACATATTATTCCAAGGAATTATTTTTTCTTATGTTTAGCCATTGTCTTTTGTGTATGGTAGTAATCCAAATTTTTCTTGGGATGGCGGAAAAATATTCCTTTGCTTAAGGGATAATAAAACAATTAAGATTGGTCAGAGAAAGGAAAAGGAATAAAGTCTTTATTCTTATCTTTTTATGTCCTCTGTATCTTTTTAAACATTTCTCCATTTTTGTGTATTTTTATGTATTTGCTTTTGCTAGTATGTGTATATGTATATATGTCTTCTACACACACATATATATATTCTGAGGGAGAAAATTGATAGCACTTTTAAGAAGAAGAAAATATGAAGGTGGTCGAAAAGTATGAAAAGAAAACAAATCAAAAAGCACGTAAGATCATAAATATCGCTTACCTGTAGACTGCATTGTTTAAAATGTTGCTTTTGTGTGTGAGGAAAAGTACGTTTTATCTTTTTATATGCCTTTTTAGGCGGATTTTTGCTATGAAAATATCCAATCCTCAAACAGGAAACCTTTCTTCTTCTTCTTCTTCTTCTTCTCCTTCTTCTTCTTCTTCTTCTTCTTCTTCTTCTCTCTCTCTATCTATCTATCTCTCACTCTCTATCAAACATACAGAGAGAAAGAGGGACACAAAGAGGACGTGAAAGATACACACACACACACGCAGTTTTTTATGTTTTGTAGATTTTATAGATATAAGTATTTAACTACTTGACCCTGTAGTTAAGATAAAATTCAACTTTATTTCCTTCTTGTTGTTTTATCATGAACATCTGTCATTGCAACATGACTTTTCTTAAAATTAATGACTAATACGGATAAATATAATTGTATTTTACTGTAGATTTAATAAAAGTTTTTAATGGAGTCATTGACAAATGTTTTTTTAATCGTTTTCACTCCATGCAAGGCAGTAAAGTCACTAAGACAAAAGGTTACATGATATGGAAGAATTAGAAAACAGAAACATTAATGATGAGCAGAACAAGAAAAGATCAATCAGAAGGACAGTGATTGACATTGCATTTCAATTTTTGTAGATTAAAGTTGGCTTGAAAGCATGAAACCGGAAGTGAGTTCCACAAACGAGAAGAAACTGTTAGCATAGAATTTACGGTTACATCTAGCCAGCTCAAGTGTAAATTGATGAGATCTCGACGTCAGTCTATTAGAGCATTAGCATCCCGAGCACGAGACTCGGGTTCGTGTCTCACCATGATTAGTCAAGGAGATACATTGTGAGTTAAAGTTAGACGAACCTATTAAAAGTCGTGAATGATTGTGCTAGTTCGTAGTAACAAGTCCATACAAAAATGACATGTAATAATGATGCGAAAATGAAAGCTAGGCATTCTTAATAAAAAAGATACTTTAGATAATGTGAGTTTTTTTAATCGAAAGCCCATGAGGAACCCAATTTCCCTCTTAGTTGAATAAAAGAGATGGTAAAGAGATGGTAAACTAATTTAAACACTATCCTCTGCGGCCTGCTTTCCCTCCCCAGACGTCACACCTTTGTTTACCCTAGGATTGTAGACTCAACGGAAACCTAGTTGTGCTAGGTTGGATCATCATCGATTTTCAGTGGACTTATTTAAATTAAATGATAAGAATAGGAACAAATAGAATTAATAAGTACATATAATTATAGCATTTGAAGATATTTTCTCATGGGATGAATGATAGTTTATTTTAATGCTCGCTGTTTATTTTTCTAGAGTTTTGAGTTTTTGGGTGTTATCTACTAATATTTGTCTTATGTTAATAGTTTTATTTTGGTTATTCGTGATGCACTGGTCGGTGTGTGCACGGATTGCACCGAGTTTCGATGTGTGGCAGGTCAGTCTGTGTGAGAGTGTGGTTTATTTGTGCCCAATGTAAGTATATAATATTGTTTTTTGATTATTAGTGTTGGAGATGAAAGTGGGCATGATAATTTGAGTTTTTGCTATTTTTTTTGTAAAGGGATATGGTGAAAATTATGGCTATTGACATCAACTACTACGTCAAGCGTAGCAATACAATTTCTTACACATCCCTAGTCGATAAATAGATAGATTCGTTTTCCTTTTAAGCCAATTTAATGACGAGGGTCCTAAGGAATCTCGTCTCCAGTCCATCTTTGAGTCAATTTAATGACCAGGATTTTGCAGGATCCCTGTCTCCAGCCCACATTTGAATGGGCAAACATAAAATTTTGTTAGTGATTTCTGATAATCATAAAATAGAGTCCTTTGAAAAACTGACCAACTAAATGCTGAATGGGTGGTATTCTTTTCTGGGACACAAGTGGACGGATAGGGGTGGTGGAACCCCAGCCAGTATTCATATAAGCAGAGAGGGACAGGAAGTTGGCAGTCAGTTAGGAAGATATAGCAATCAGAGAGGAAGGGACCAGCAGTGAATGAGTCACTGAGACAGTCAGAAACTGAGTGTAAGGGTACTTTTACTGTGGTTTTTCAGTTTCGACATTTTGATTATTGTTGTTCCAACGAATCTTTATGTTGGACGAAAAAGGTTCCATTTACAAGAATGTTCTGTCATTTTCAAAGCTATATATAAATTCTGTGGTATAAAAATTTTGTTTATATATATATATATATATATCAGTGGCAATTCCGGGAGTGAGTGAGAATTCAGGTATATCTATTTAAAAGTAACACAATTCTTTCCTAGTGCGTTGTTTGCATTCTTGACTTCAGTTGGATCCAAAATTGTTTTAACTCCGACCTCAAAATATTGACCGAAATAAATTTCGTTGATATTGTTTATAATAAAGACGAAAGAAAGAAGAAAAAAAAGTAAGTAAAAAGAGAATGAAAAAAAATTAAGTGAATAATCGGGCTGCGTAGATCGAAGGTGGAGACATACTTAACAGGCAATGTATTTCTTACTTTAATCTTATAAATAATCTTTTTAAAATCTCTAATGAATCGTTTGCCCTGTTTTTTTAAAGAACACCTTTTTATTTTAACTTATTGTTTTCAAATGCCTGTTTAAGTAATTTATTCCGTAGAGTATAAGGTTTTTTAGCAGAATGTATCTTTTGAGAAAGGGCAAATTAAATTTCGCCCCACCTTAAATTCGGCAAAATTCAAAGAAAATAGCAGCCTTAACTCGTCAACCGGAGGGTTGAGACGAGGAGTGTGACTCGGGTAAAGTTGAGGATATATGATATCTTTCTGCAGTACTTATCATAAACATACAATAAATTAAACTAAAAATTCAAAGACAGAGAGATGCATAAACACACTAACGTATAGACATATACACAAACACACACCCAACCATCAGTGACTTGATAAACAGGTTATAAAACAATAAAAAATGGAAAGAGGGCAATAAACGGAGAAACATATCAAAGACTTTGTCCTGACTCTTTTTTCTAACATGTCTGGAAAAAAATTTTAAATAAATGTTTTTTTTTTCTAGAATCATTACAATTAATATTAAAATACCAAAATGTGCTTATTTTTTAATTTCATGCACAGGGATTTTTAAAAAATTATATATCTTAGTAAGAGTAAAGGGATCCTTTCAGCAACTAAGTTATTCCAATAGTATATTTTGTTAAAGATTGTAATAAGCCTGATATACATTGATAACATAGAGTCACCACTGATATATATATATATATATATATATATATATATATAATGAAGGTAACAAATGCGTTGGTATATAATCCAAGTGTGTCCTAGCAATATGAACTATTAAAACTGTTCCACAAAAGGAGCTCAATGTATTTATTATTACAGAGCAAATAATTAATAAACAATAAAATTCAAAATCACCTTTATGGGGAATAGCCTATTTCGACAGACGAACATAGCAGTTGTCTGTCTCATCAACCCCGTTGTGGACTGAGTTCGTGTTGGAAATAGAAATTTAACCGTGAAAGCTAAAAAAAAAAAAAAAAAAAAAAAAATAACAGTTGTAAAATGAATACAGAATTTATCTATTTCAATGTTTCAGTCAGACGAAAGGCACGAGAGAGGGGTTAGGGGAGGGTGGAAGGTTTTTGTCTTAAAGGGAAGAAGATTTTTGTTGTTTTTTTTTAAATTAAACCCGAATATTAACCTTATGGCATTAATTTGGGGTTCTATGAAGAATGAAATATTAATTTAAAATTAAAAGAATAAAAAGGGGTTTAAAGGTAACTTTAAAATATATATATAAAAAGATGGAAGGAATCAATGAAAAGAGAGTTTGGGAGATATTAGAGTAAGGGAAGTATATATATATATATATATATATATATATATATATATATATATATATATATATATATATATATATATATATATATATATTTATGGAATAGGGGAAATATGTATATATATATATGAATTTTCATGGAATAGGGGAAATCCATGTCGCAAACAATTATAATATACAAAACCTCCGAATCCGTTATAATAAAAGATATATATATATATATATATATATATTGTATTGTTGTATTTATGTTGAATGAATAGGGGAAAATATATGTGCAACGCCATCCAGATGATTTTAGTCTTGTTTTTTTTTACAGTTGTGCGTTCATGTATATATATATATATATATATATATATTGTTCAATAATGGTAATCCAATATTGGGGGAATATAACAAATGACAGTTAAATTTTCACATCAAAAAATATTAGAAATATATATATTTAGAGGTGCTATATATATATATATATATTATGGTTAAATTAAAATTTTGTCGACCTAAGTATCTAGCAGTTCAACTTAACCGATCTTATTCAGCTTCTTATCGCTTATATTTTTATATTTATCGCTAATGTTTTCCATTCCCACAAATTGTATCAGCAGATGTTTTTCGAGGAAAGAGATAAGTCCCATGTTCAATAGCGAAAAAATAAATAAATAAAACAATAGAAAACAAATATAAAAAAAAACAAATAATAAAAAACAAAATAATAAAACTGGTTAAATTAAGCGGTTTATTTCTTCCATCTTTTTCATTGGTATTCATGTCATCAATATATCAAATATGAGTCTGGTAAAATTAAATAAGAATTTGTTTTGATAGTAAACCATATTTTTAAATCATTTCAACCCAAGTAAAGGAATAAGGGGTTGCTGTGTGTTGGAGGGCATAAAAATACTATTAAAGAGAGAGCATAATAAAAGAACAAGAATTAAGAGGACAGAAGGAAACTGTTGTAGAGTAGTTTTCAGTGAAGGCTTGTATTTCATTAAGTCGGTCCTAAATTAGGTTCGACGTACAAAACGTTAGGAACTTGAAAATAATAGTTAATGACGCAGCAATCTAGTTGTTGTGGTTGATACTTCAATGTCCGACATCGACTGACTCGCTCAACTCCACTGAGCCCACTGGCGACTACTACTTACTATCTGTGGGAGAGTCTATTTACAATAGAATAG